TATATAAGCACTTAAAAAAATTTTATTTTGAAGATTTTATTTGTCAGTGAGGTAACGAGAGCACGAGTAGGGGGAGTGGCAGAGGGAGAAGCAGACTCCCCGCTGAGCAGGGATCCTGATGCGGGGCTCGATCCCAGGACCCTGGGATCATGGTCTGATCTGAAAGCAGATGCTTAACCAACTGAGCCACCCAGGCGCCCCTATATAAGCACTTTAAAAAGAGTTCAAATCTAGGAAAACCAATTCCTCAGAGTTTACTCTGCATATAGAGCACATGCTCCTTGTAGTATAATCTGTGTGCCAGACCACCTTTGTCTACATGTGTCTTTTGTTATTGTGCCTGCTTTAAGAGGCGTTTTGGATGCAGCTACTTTTCTGAGAGAGTGATGGTTTGGTTTATGAATCCTTTTATTGAAAGAGTTCCCTTAAATAAGCCTTAACCTCATTTAAGACTGGACTAGACATGCCAGGGTTAACCCAAGTAGAGTGCCCTCTCCTGGCACGTGCTTGAGAAGCCCCTCTTCCTGCGCTTGTGTGTGAAGAGGGTGCCTGGCGCAGAGGGCCTTCAGCCACTATCCCTCCATAACCGTCTTTTCTCTCATTCTCTGTGTCCTTTCCAGTGCTCTGTGAAGAATTGCCGCACAGCCTTCCATGTGACCTGTGCTTTCGACCGGGGCCTGGAGATGAAGACCATCTTGGCGGAGAATGATGAAGTCAAGTTCAAGTCCTACTGCCCGAAGCACAGCTCACATAGAAAACCCGAGGAGAGCCTCGGGGAGGGGGCCACGCAGGAGAATGGGGCTTCTGAGTGTTCCTCTCGGAATCCGCGGGAGCCATTTGCCAGCCTTGAGCAGAATCAGGAGGAGGCTCACCGGGTGAGTGTTCGCAAGCAGAAGCTGCAGCAGCTGGAAGATGAGTTCTACACCTTTGTCAACCTGCTGGATGTTGCCAGGGCCCTGCGGCTGCCCGAGGAAGTGGTGGATTTCCTGTACCAGTACTGGAAGTTGAAGAGGAAGGTCAACTTCAACAAGCCCTTGATCACTCCAAAGAAGGACGAAGAGGACAATCTAGCGAAGCGGGAGCAGGATGTCTTGTTTAGGAGGCTGCAGCTGTTCACTCATCTGCGGCAGGACCTGGAGAGGGTAATGATTGACACTGACACCTTGTAGTGACTTAGAAAAGAAGATTGCCAAGAGGCGGCTGCTTGCCCAGAGCAAGGAATGGTAGCCAGTTCCTTTACTCCCAGACCCTTGTACGCACTGCAGCATGAGGTGGTGTCGGTTAAATATATTTACGGGCTGGCCAGCTCATTGTGCATATGTGTGAGACTGCCACAGAGTGGGGAGCTTCTCTGTGATTTATTTTTAAAACACTTTCCCACTAATCCTTGTTCTTCTGTAAGATCAAATGGGGTGTGTCCCCTTCCCCCTTCATTCCAGTACTAGAGGGAACTGAGCCCCAGGAAAAGACCCAGGGATTGGCTCGGACTTGGTTTGCAGACGGAGTTAGACAGGTGGATTTGATTTATGGTGGGGGCAGGCAGAAGTAGGAAGATCTCTTGTTCAAACCTGGGGTAACACTGGGTGCTGCTGATGGGCTCATCAAGGAGAGCCCATCCCTGCCTCTCTGGCGCACCTTCGTTTCTTGGCTAATTCACAGGGACGTTCCTGGTGCCGCCCCAGGGGAGAGCAGGCAGCGGGTGCCGATGTGTGTGCGTGAACTTAACGTACACATGCGGATCTATTCCTGAAGGTTCTCCTGGCAGTGAGGTGCTAAGTCATCACTGAGGCAGAGTATATATACTGTGCGTGTGTGCTCGTGTGTCCCTGTCCACGCGTGTCAGTGCCGGGGTGGGGCGGGCTAGCCGGCGCATCGGGCCGCCTCATCTGAGGGGCCCCGGGTAATGCTCAGTACACTACGTGAGCCCACGACTGGCTTGTGGACGTAGTGGCTGTTGGCTGCCTGGAGCCTCGGCTGATGGCACTTCCTTCAACTCTTGGCTGCTTTGTGCCTCCCCAGCTCTCCGTTACTTTTGGAGTCCCAGTCTGGACCTCCCTTCCTGCTACAGGAATAATTAGGAGCGGGCTGTCTTCCCTCCAGGGCCTCCTGTTCCCTGTAGTAGTTTCTGACTGAGGTTGCTAAATGGGGATGCGTCCTAGAGCACCTTCTGCGTCAACTCCCCTGACTGCCAGCTACGATTAAATTCATTAGTGCGCAGGAGCTGGGCCCCAAGCTCTCTGGCCTGAAGCTTCCTGCTCTGAAAGGCACCCAAGTGGCCTGAAACCGTTAATGCATCGCCCCCAAGCACCTCACTTACTAGCAGGGAGTGATTCACCTGCCTGGGAGATGATTGGAAATGAGAGTGTAGGCCAAGAGTAGGGATAAATCGGAGGAATGTTAAAGCCGAAAGATCCAGCTCTCACAGAGACCTGCGTGGCCCTGCTAAAGATGGCATAGGAGCGGAAGTATTAAGTGATCATTCGAGATCCTTTTAGTAGGAGACCCGAGTGCCTGAGGGCCAGCATGTTGTGACACCCCCTCCCTGACCGGGTTCCGATGGATTCCAGATTCAGGCCCAGGCAGAGGCAGGCGGGAGGAGGGTTTGTGAGGCTCTGTGCTGCCATACCCCCCCTGGTGGTGAGTGTAAAGAAGACCTCGCCTCAACCACATGTATGTGTGGCAGTTTTGTTAAGAGAGGAGAAAGGGATTCAGAAGGATAAACTGGAATCCTGGTGAGAAGCCATTATTCCCAGCCTGACGACCGCTGTACGTGGGGGTGCATGAGCTATGGAGTCAGATAGTCCTCAGGAGGGAGGACGAGAAGTCTAAATGTTTGGACTGTGTTTGTCTCACGATCACCACAGAATAAAAGTGTAGAAAATGCTTGTGGTGTACTAACTCTTTTCTGTACTTCAGTTACTCAGATTAACACGCACTTATAATTAAATTCTAAACATTTTTTTGGAGTCATCACTGTTGGTTTTTAAGTAGAATGATACCATTGATGTACGAGAAACAGGGAATAAATCAGGATTTTTGTGTGTGTGTGGCATTACTTACATTTATTTTATTAAAAGCCTAAGAGATTTTAGAGAATTTAGTGTCAGTTTAAAATGGGCTTATTATAATGGAAAAAAAAAAAGTTTTTCAGAATTTGCCATGAGGCCCACAATAGTGGTGGCTTAAAAAACATTGAAATCTTTGCTGTGCCCCTGAGAGCTGCACAGTGCTTTGTAATTATAGGCAATAAATATATCAGGGCAGGGGTGACCAGAACAAATCATAAATTACGTTGTTTTTCAATTAAGAGTTCGGCTCATAAACACAGTAGTAGTTCATAGCAGGTATGCAGAAGCCGTGAATACACGGGATTATAATCAAGGCTGTGGTCAATCCTAAACTGACAAATGAGTAGCCTTCATTAGAAATGCGAACAGCTGATGAACGATAACGTTAATAGATCTTTCTTGGAAATACACACCTCGGGGCATTACACACCTGGGTACAGTTCTGGATGGGAAAGTTAGGTGGCAGGAGTGCATTTTAGGAGGGTTTGGGAACCCCCATCTTTAAGAAGACACAATTGCTGATGTGTAGTCCATGGCTATGTCAAGTTCCCGGGGCCGCCACTTCACTCTGGTGGGATCCCTTTCCCCTAGATGTTGTCTTTTACAAGATGCAGTAAACATCAGTTCAGCAAGTGAGAACTTATAGACCTGCCCCCTCTGCACGTGTGGCTAGCTCATCCGAAGGGGGCCAGCTTGTGGGAGACTGTCCTACTCACCACTCAGTGGAATGGTCACCACTGAGAATCTGATGGAGGCTACAGTTGTCCCTGAACAAAAGGCATGTTGAGCTCTAGTGTGCGAACAGTGTTTGGGATTCAAGAAAACCCCTTGAGGCCATTCTTGGATTCCTGAGGGCAGTGGTTCTCAGAGTGTGGGCCCCAGTCAGCAGCAGCAACAGTACCTGGAAACTTAACAGAAGTGCCAAGTTTTGGACCCCACCTCTGACTCCAGAAACTGGGACGGGTTAGTGGCCAGCATTCTGTGTTTGAGGGTTCCCACGTGTTTGTTTGAGAATCACTGCTTTTGGGGAAATCCTGGCTCTGGTTTAGCATGGTGTGAGAGTGTACCCATGAACTTCTTTTTCTGGAAACTCCTTGCTGGCAGCTTGGAGAGGATGAAGCAGGGGAGGACGTTTGGTTGAGCGGCGCACGGGAAGGGCCAAGCAGGGCCTGTTTCCAGGGTCAAGCCCTCAGGCACGGCCGGGGCTGCTGGTGGAAGTTGTCCTGTGAGGGGTGCTTTGTGCATAAAGGAGGGAAGGTTTAGGGCATTCACTAGTCTAAATGTGGTCAGCTGGGCCTGGGTTATTCAGGGGTTGATTTGTCCCAATGAAAATCCACCCTGGCCTTAGCTTTTTGGGGTTCCAGGTAGAGGTTTCTCATCAGAGGATACGGGGGGAATAGAAGTGGAATTTTCCCACCTAGCGGCCATTGTGGGAGCCTTTCCTGGGGATAGTGGTTGAAGCTATCAGAATTAAATAATGCAAAGTTCAGGTACCCTGGTTTTCCTAGTTTCTGTTTTCATGGATACTTTCAAGTCAGAGAGATCTAAGTATCTTGGCTGTACATCTGACTTGAATAGAGTAATAACCTCATCTGCTCCTAGGATGTCAGAATTTGTTTCTATTTCCTATTTCCAGAAGTCAGATTCCTTGATGTAAAAACTGTTGGCCAGAAGTTTTTAATCTGCAATACAGATCTAGGTCTTGCCTCTTCCTCTAACTGAGCTTTCACACTTAAGCCCCCAGTGGGCCCCCCCCCCCCCGCCGGAACAATACTTATCAAAGACAATAGCTTGTGAGCCACTTCATCCCCAAATTGGTCCGGATTTTTATAAAGGACATCTTCTTCCTGGCCTGGAGCTCTGAGGCTGTCAGAACAGGCTCTAGCCAGGGTGAATTACACCAAAATAGTATTTACTCTGAGACAGGGAGAGTGATTTTCTTCTCAATTCTTTAATTCCAAGATTACACAGGCAAGCGCACACATGTCTATACATTAGGAAGAGCTGTCAGGAGGATCCTAAGTAGTCGGCGAGTTGATGAGGGTCAGCAGAAGCCTGATTGGGTTCTCCTGTGTTAGGCCCGGAAACTCCGCCATGATGCAAATGTGTGAGCCAGCCAGCCAGCCTGTTCCTGTCTATGCCTCCTGTCCTCTTGCAGACAAGACAGCCGTGAACACGGGACAAGGGCTGGAACGCTTAGGGTTCAGAAAGGACTGGAAACCTTCGGGGAGGTGCTTGCACAGAAGCCAAAAGTGCAGAGTCCTGTGTGTGGGGCTCATTGCCATCCTTCCTTACGTAAGAGGTCGGGGACCCTTCAGCTTGTATGGTCAAGGTGGCAGGGAAAGGGGTCGCCCGTGCCTCCGGAAACGTTTTGAGGGGAGTGTCATCATGCCTGGGACAGAGGCCCTGTACTCCCACTGCTGAACTGTTCTGGGGTTTTGGTCTTCATCTTCTGGAGAGGTTTATTGTAGCTCTGGGGTGTTGCATTTGACATTTGAGTTTTCAGGCGCGTGCAATCTAGTCCGGTTTCCCAGTAGGTTTGGGGACTGAGGATTTAAGGGCATTTATTGACTAGTCTGTTTTTGTATCAACTGGTCACAGGTGGCTTTAAAAATGGGGAACAAATTTAGGGGTCGATGAGTTAGTATTGGGTAGTGGGCATCTATGTGGGGTCACCAGTGACTGCAGTCAGATACAAAGTGGAGCTCTTAGCACTTGGGTCTTTTTAGTTTCTTACAAATGAATGTGGCAGTTGGGGGTGGTGATACAGGGAGTTGGACTTGAGATGTTGACAGCACGGCAATGGCAGAGCGAGGAGACTTCCTCGCTTTACGTCCTAGAGGAACACGTTAGCTACCGGTGAGCTCCACACATTTCAGATACTGTCCAGTTGACAAAGAATTTTCCTTGGATTCTTGGTGCCCGTTTGGTCCTCTCGTGGGCTCGGTGCAGTGATAATTTTGGGCGGAGGGTGGGGGAGGGGTGCTCCTCTGATGGGCCTTGACACTGTGCTTCCCTAATTCCATCCTCAGGAGCTGCTTGATAAAGTGGCTTCTGAACTGCTCGAAGGCCTTCCATCATAGAATTCATGGGGAGCGGCTACGGAGGGGTGGTAAGCAGAGTCCTTGGTCAAGAGGTGGTACGTCTGGACTTGGACCCCAGTGGTCTTCTCTGCTGGGATGAGCCTCTGGCTGGGTGTGATGGAGGAGGCAGGGCTTTCGTTTGAGGTCCCCCTCCAATCTCTCTTCCACGTTGCTGCTGCCTCCATGGAGGGGTGTGTGTGGAATCCTAGTTAGCAGCCCAAAAGTAGTTGAGAGATGGGATAAAATGTTGAAGTACACCTTGATTTCAGATGTCACTCACGGCCCTAGTAGGACACAATCTCGGGTAAAGAACAAAACACCAAAGTACCATTAATGTGTTGCTTACTTAGCGTCTTTATTCTCTACGTTCTAGGTTCGGAACCTCACTTACATGGTGACCCGCAGGGAAAAGATTAAGCGGTCTGTGTGCAAAGTCCAGGAACAGATATTCAATCTTTACACTAAGCTCTTGGAGCAAGAAAGAGTTTCAGGTATGCATTAAGCTCTTGTAGGGCAAACAATAGTGCAGGGGTTTGTAAGCCTTCACGTTCTGGGAAGGAAAAAAATAAGTTTCTTTAATTTTCTTTTATGTATGCTACAGGAGAAATCTGAGAAGCACAGACTTTCCTATTCAAGGAAAATCTTTGGGCATCTGAAGTGTCACGATATAGGGCAAAGGGCTTTGAATTTGACCCCAGATAGGGGTTGAACCCCATATCCCCTGCTTACAGGCCAAACACAAGGAAAGGAAGCCCAAGTTTTCGGAGCCTCCCCCACTTCCTCCTGTGTAACGTGAGGACGATCTCTCAGGCTTCCTACTGGGAGCTCTTGTGAGACTCGAATGAAACAACAACTTCTCTAGTGTGTTGCAAAGCACTGGATAAATGTAAAGTGTCATGGGGATACCTACAGAGGCTTACAGATTACCTAGTCTTTGGATCTACCTGTAATGTGCGGTAAATAAGACATGTTAAGGCTGTGTGCTTAAGACACATCCATGTTGAGATAACATTCACAGTGGACGTTTTGGTGTAGGTGGAAGCGTGGATATTTTTGAAATTCAGCACCGAGTGTTTATTTAGTGCCTTCTCTTTTACATTGCTCTGGGCTAGGCAGAGTGAAAAAGGAAACTAAGCTATAGACTTCCTCCGTTCTGGAGAGCACATCCGTTACTTGGAGGCGGGGTGCACAGTAGGGCAAGTCCTTGAACCTCTCTGGGACTCTCGATCTGTGAGAGGGGGCTGGGTTCAGAATCCTGACCTCTCACAGGGCTCTGAGCACCGACATTCTGTGAGTGTGAATCCTGCAGAGCAGGCATTGGGAGGCTCTCAGGGAAGGAGATCCGCTGAGTGGAGTGGGCAGGTCTCGAGTCTTCGGGAGCCAGTCTCTGTGGCCCTGCCCTGCCCCGGGCAGCACGTGCCTCGTGTGGCCACAGAAGGCCTCCTTTTCCTGCTTCTGTGGCTTTTTGTCTCTGTAGATGACTGACACATAGAAACAACAGAGAAGTGGTTATAACCTGTTATATTGGAATCCAAATTCTGGTTTACCTAAAACTAACCAGATGTATGGAACTAGACGTAAACTGGTCAGCTGAACAAAGGGAAACAAGCTTTAGGGAGTTTTGAATGATATTCTTGAGGTGTTACATAGTTAATACTAATGGCATTAACTTACTAATGTTCTCCTAGGTATTTTCTTCCTGAGAAGAAATATTTTCCAGATGTATCATTAGCTAGAGTTTACGGTTGTAAAACTTAAAATAAATTTTTGTAAGTAGGGTTCAGAAGTGAAAGAAAGCAGCTTGATTCAGATTGTTTCAAGTGAACTTCTTTCATTCGTTATTCCTACTTGAGTGCAAATAAACGGGACCTGTTTTATCCCTTGCCTTTGTGGCCTCCTGTCACCAGCCCACGGGGGAGGCCGCCTGCAGCGCCACCAGAGCGAGTGCTGCCGATGAGCGGGATCGCTAATGCGCCTTGTGCCATTGGCGGGCTTTCTGTGACTCTTGTGAAGTTGTTCTGTAATGAGTGATTACTTCTAAAAATAAGCTGTAAAGAGCATTTTCATCTGATTTCACTTAAGAGTCATTTTTCATGGATATTGCCGGCAGCTTTTTGCATTTCATGGCTGAGGTTTTTACTTGGGTTAAGTGATTGAGATTCTTAACCAGGTTAGGAAGTGTTTTGCGTAACACAGCTGTAATGAAATCCTGCTCTTCCGGAAAAGGTAAACAAACCCTCCCTCCCCTCTGAGATACGAACCATACTAAGTGTGAGGGGTTGAAAGCAACATTAATCTTCCTGCAGGCTGCCACAGGGAGTGCAGTGGAAACCCTTTCGGATGCCACCCCCCACCCCGTTTTTCCAGTTTTAGACTTTCAGTTGTGTTTTTACTCATGCCCCAAGAGGGTCTCCTGTCTTGTAAGATAGATGGTTGCAGGTGAGGAGGAGGTGGCCACGACTTAGACGTGTCGGTCAGGGTCCGTGGTTTAGATGTGTGTGTGAAGCTGAGAATGGGCAGGGCCATTCTGCTGGGTAAGCGTGTCCTCGGTGGGGACAGTGCTTCCAGGTCATGAGTCTGAGGCTTTTCAGAGACATGGATCCCAGGCAGATGGAAATCGGGGTTTAGAAAATGTCAGTCCCTCTTACCTTTGTTTTCCCACAGTAGGTGACTGAGGAAGAGAAATAGAAGTGTGGCGTGAAGGTTGACCCTAAGGTTTGATCCTTGAGAAAGCGGGTGTCCCCGGCCCAGCAGACTGTAGAACCCCCTCCCCCGTGGCGTCCACTGGCACCTTCATGTTCGGAGCTGCTTCCTCTGCTCTGTTCACGTGCGGTGTCCACGTCTGTGGAGCAGGGAGGTCTCGTCCGGGCTCCTGCCTGGCAGAGCCTTGTTTTCCTGGTGGTTTATACCTTATGGGAGACAGAACATGAAAACAGCTCTTTATAGATGTCCTGGAGGCTCTTACAGAAACGTGGTCCTTGTGATAACCTCCAGTGTGTTATGAATTCACTCAGTGTTTTTCACACTGAGGGTTATGATTCATTAGTTGGTTGTGAGATGAATTTGGTGGGTCACCACCAGCATTAAAAGCAAATGACATGTCAGTGCCACATCACATGGAGAAGGCTAATACGGTTTCATGAAATGTGAGCTCTTACCGGGTTATATTGTGAAATTTAGTTGTGATTTGCAGCAAAAATGTTCACAAAACACTATTTTACCTTCTCCTCACGTTGGATGACAATTCAGTTTAATTCCACAAATAGGCTTTGTATATAATTTTAAAAGACATTTACTATGTGTCAAGAATGATTTTAAACACCTTTCTTTCTCATTTCATGTATTTACAGTTATTTATCCTCAGCATAGCCCCCCGGGAGTATATTTACTTTGGAGAAAGAAACTCTAAAGATTTTCATGTGTTTATTTATTTATTTGAGAGCGCGTGAGTGCAAGAGAGCACGCAAGGGGGAGGGGCAGAGGCAGAGAGAGACTCTCAAGCCGACTCCACGCTGACCGTGGAGCCCGACGCAAGGCTCAATCCCATGACCCGGAGATCACGACCTGGGCTGAAAGCAAGAGTCGGATGCTCAACCGACTGAGCCAGCCAGGTGCCCCTGGAAAAGGACACTTTAAAGCCCCAGTTGCTGCCCTTGTGGTGCTCTCAGTCTTGTTGGGGAGGCAGGTACCTAACCAGGTGCAGGGGCAGACGCAGTGCTTTTGACCAGGAGGACTCTGCGTGGGTTCCTCTTTGAAAATCAGATCACTTATTTTGTTTGAAGGAAAATGGTTTTCTTGGAAAGATGTCTCATGAAAACTTTGGTGAGCTTCAGCTATTTTAGAAAATAGAGCATATTAATTTGAGTCTGCAGACTGAATGCAGATTCTCAAGGCATTTATTTTTTTTTATAAGTTTTTGTATAAATTTTTTTAGACTGGGTGGTTGTATGTAGTCCTGTTGGGTGGGAAGTTTGCATTAATAGGGCCATGCTAAGATCTAGAATTTTATATTTATGGATCTGCTTCTGTAATTTTTCTTCCTCTGTGGTTGTATGTTCATAGGTGTGCCTTCTTCTTCCTGCTCCTCCTCCTCACTGGAAAACATGCTTTTGTTTAACAGCCCTTCTGTGGGCCCTGATGCTCCCAAGATAGAGGACTTGAAGTGGCATTCTGCGTTCTTCAGGAAGCAAATGGGTACTTCCTTGGTTCACTCGCTGAAAAAGCCCCATAAACGAGATCCATTGCAGAACAGCACTGGGAGCAGAGGCAAAACCCTCCTGAAGCAGCCGGACCTGTGTGCGAGAAGGGAGGGGATGGTGGTCCCAGAGAGCTTTTTGAGTTTTGAAAAGACCTTTGCAGAAGCACGTCTCATATCAGCACAACAGAAAAACGGGGTGGTGATGCCAGACCATGGGGACAGAAGAGACCATCGTTTTCATTGTGATCTCAGTAAGGGAGACTTAAAGGACAGACCTTGTAAACAGAGTCACAAGCCTCTCAGGTCCACAGACGTGTCCCAGAGGCACCTGGACAACACCAGAGCTGCCGCCTCCCCGGGAGCGGGGCAGTCAGCACCTGGCATGAGGAAGGAGCTAGTGCCCAAGTGCAACGGCTCCCTCATCAAAGTAAACTATAACCAGACTGCAGTCCAAGTGCCTACAACGCCTGCCAGCCCAGTGAAAAACTGGGGAGGATTCCGGATTCCAAAGAAGGGGGAACGGCAGCAGCAGGGAGAGGCCCATGAGGGCGCCTGCCACCAGCACTCAGACTACCCCTATTTGGGCTTAGGCCGAGTTCCAGCCAAGGAAAGGGCAAAAAACAAATTAAAATCTGACAATGAGAACGACGGGTATGTCCCTGACGTAGAGATGAGTGACTCAGAGAGTGAGGCATCAGAAAAGAAATGTATACACGCCAGCAGCACCATCAGCCGGAGGACAGACATTATCAGGAGAAGCATTTTGGCCTCTTGATGAAACCGAGATGGCGTGGGAGCGCGGCGGGCTTGTCGTGGAGTTGCTAGACCAGAGCTCTGACGTGGGGGACGAGCAGAACCCCATCACTCCTGAGCTACACAAACACATTTACTTGCAAGTCAGATTGAATTTTTTTTCCCCAGAGTCATTTATAAATCGTTGTGAGAAGTGTGTTATTGGCAACTTGTTGAGGAAACACAAGAGTAGATTGTAACCGTCAGACACTAAGACTAGAGGCCGAATTAAACACTAAAATAAGAATGAATGAAATAAGTCTTAAGAGAGGGCGAGGCTTCCGGAAGCCTCCTGAGTTTGTATTGCCCTCTGTATTCTTCCCAAAGCACAAACTCTTGGTTACCTGAATATGCGGAATCAGATGCAGTTCTTGAGAAACCCTCACGTACCACTTAATGGCCCATAAAACTTACTTTCTAGGACTGTGGTAGATGTTGAAGTCGTATTTATACTTTGGCCCACAAGGCTGTTTTGTTGCATTGTAGTTAGAGGCAGCAAGCTCCGAAGCTTCAGTAACTCTAGGGAGTTCGTGTACATTAGAACAGCACATGGGGAAGAGAGGATTTAGAAAAAGGTCAGTACTTGAAGATCTGAAGGGGCAGGGCGGAGCTGCTGCAGCTTGCAGATTTAAGGTCCATGTAGCAAGGTCCCATTGCCTGAAGCACTGGAGTATGTTGTGGGTATGGGACTGGTGGAGAGTGAAGCCATTAGAAAGTTCTGTGAGAAAGGGCAGTTGGTCCCGTTTTTACCAGGCCTCTTGACCTTCCTCCTCCCTAACCACTGCCTATAGGCCAGCTTGGGGTCTCCCTGGCCTTTGGCAATACCTGGCCATCTGGCTTCCAACGATACTAATGGCTATTCCAAGTTCAAGCGATGAACTTCCAGACTCTGGTGACATACTTCCCAGAGCCAACCACTAGTGCATATGTTGGGGAATCTGGGCTTCCAGCATGAACGGATTCCTTAAGAAAAAGGAAAAGAAAAAAAAAAGCAAAAAAAACCTAATAGGTTATATTTTAAAAACAATAGAAAGGCAATAAGTTGCGATAACCTCTTACCTTTAACCAAGGTTATACGGGAAAGAGACTAAAGTGTAATAGGTTTCCTGGAGTCAGAGTTCTAAGCTCCAATTCGTAACTTGGACTTTCTAATTGCAAATGGCAATAACTAGTAAGTTATCAGCAATAATGAATTTAGCATTAAATTTGAGTACAAATGTTCTGTTTTTGCACTCACTGTAGTGCGTATGTATTAAGACAGTGGATAGTGTTAAGGTCCTGTTAATTTTCTTTGGAATTCAATGTAGTTGTGAATCAAACTTAAGAGAAGGAAAGTTTAAATAGCAATGAAATTTAGAATTATGGGCACTTGGAACAAGCCCAACTTCCCCTAAATTATCCTTAGTTTGTTAATACCAGTATTCAGATTCCTGATTCATTTATACATCTGTTTCCATGTGGCAGGGACATTCTGATACTTAACGAGTGATGCTTTGAGTTCTGTAGTTACCTTTCAAGTCTTCCAGGTGATTGTCAACAGCAAAAAAGGCTTATTGAATTCCATCTTGCTATGCAAGTTTTATCGGATGATCAAATAGTAGATCTGATGCATCCCCATTGTATGTATGACATTTTCAAACCAAGTCTTAACTTTTCGAATACATTTTAGTAGCTAATTCAGGGGAGGGGAAAGAATGACCCAGGTTTTTAGATTGACTATTTTTGAGCTATGGGGCTCATTTTGAAAGACTGCTGTCCAGATAAGCTGTTGCTACGGATACTAGGAGTTTCTTAATGAATCCAAGGTGTACATTGACTCATAGCATAATTTAAAAATCACATTTTTTGCGTATGAGCAAAAACCTTTTTGCTGGATACAGAAGAAGGTGGACACTTTTTACAGTTACCTTTTGATCACAGCAACAGCTCTGGGTGAGAGTAGAATATATAGAGGGGTAATCTGTCAAGCCATAGAAAGAAAATCTAAATTTTAGTAAGTATATGACCTCTCACCATTTTAAGAGGTACCAGATTCATTTGCACTATTTAGGAATGCTAGTTTTGTGCAAAAATAATGCCTTACCTGTTTTTTCCCCACATTTAGGTTGAAAAGCTTTCAAACGTTCCAAGTTATGCTGAACCAAAAAAAACAAAACAAAAAAAAAAATAAAAACCCACACAAAAACAAAACACAAAAATAAAAAGCCCACACTTTTTATTCCTGCTTTGAAATGCAAATGGTATAGAGCACGGTTTCTCTGACAGTGTAATGATAGCTTTGGAAGTTAGTTCACGTCCTGCTGGGACCTCTGTATGAGGCGGCCGTCCGCAGCACCCACCCACCCCACCCACCCCACCCACCCCACCCACTTGCACTCTCTTCAGGATGAGCCATTCGCTCTGCTTTTCGTTTCTTTTCTTTGAAGCTTTATTTTTCCTTGTGCATCCTGACCAAGAAATATCTTTGATTATGATCAATGTATTATGTCAAAATGTAGGCTAGTTAAACTTTTGTAAAGTTGCCTGGAATGTCATTTGTTAGGTTATAAACACAAAATCGAAATGAAGGGTTCTATGTGTTGTGTACAAATCTTAATTATTTTGAAATGGACAAACGTCATTACATTTGTAACCTTGTACAGAGGATTTTTCACTATGTGCCTAGCTTGGTGTCCATTCAGCTAAAATTGGAAAAAAAAAGGTGCATGAAGAGTTAAAAAAATCAGAAATTAAACAAAGTATATGTAGAGATGACTATTTTATATTACATGGCCCAATCCTGTATTTATTTCTACCCCCTTTTTGAAAGTATTTATAAAACTAGTTGAGGACAGCTGTATTTTTTTGTTGAACTATTTAGTAGAATTTGTGCCTTTTTTGTCTGTATGTGAATAAATGCTGTACATTTTGCAATACATTTTTAAGTGTCTTTTGAAATCTGATTTTGCCAAGTATTTGAAGATGTAGATGACATAGTGGTCCTGCGTGGGTGTGTATGTATGTCGACTGTCTCATGGTTTAGGAAGGAGCACTGTTGTAGGGACAGAACGAGATTGTGGAAGAGCACAGATTCACTGGGTTGCTGTCTGGCTCCACTGTGATGGTGAGGCACTGTAAAATGATAATGGTTCGATTTTTAGTCTTCCCCACCTGGAGTTCTTTCCAGAATACAATTTTTGATCTGAAAGTAACCTGTTGTTGAGTCTAAGCAACTTAGACTGCAGGGTCAGGGAGACCTGGGTTTAAAGGCTGAACTGCAGCTTATCAGCCATGTGACCTTTGCCAAGTCACTCACCCAGCATAAGCCTCCATCTTCCCTTCTGTAAAAAAAGATTACATCCCACTGCCTTTACGGGGGTTATTGTGATATTTCAAGCAAGTTCATAAACATCTAAAGCATGCAGTAGGCATTTAGTAAATGACAGACTGTGAGTAGGAACAAGGCCTTGATTTCTCCAACATGTTGACCGGTGAGC